CTGTGCCGGTGCCCGGGGGGCCGGGCGGGGAGCACCGGGAGCGGCCGCAGCGCCGGGCCCTCCCCGGGCACGGGAGGGGTCGCTTCCCATTTCGGCCGGGGCCGGGCCCGGGCCGAGCGCTGCCCTGGCTGGTCACAGGCCCCGTGGCCCTGCTGGGCTGCACAGAGATGTTCCCGGGAGGGGCTGCTCCCGGTTCCCCGTGTGCGGCCACTGGCTCCCGGTACCTTGGGAGCCCTTGGGATTTTAGCGAGCACACTGCATCGGTTGATTTTTTAAATGAAAGATATGAAATAATTGTTATCCTGACTGACCAGTTAGTGCCTTTGAAGGTTTACCGCTGCTGATAACCATCAGATTTGGTATAATAGAAAGGGTTGGGTTCGGTTGGGTTGGAAGAGGCCTTTAAAGGCCTCATTCAGCCCCTGCAGTGAGCAGGGACACATCCGTGTGTGTCCAGTTTCTTTCTCATATTTTTTTTTTGAGTAATTGTGCACATTATATATCCCAGAAGAGCTGTATGTGTCTGAACGAGAGGGCAACGACTCCACTGGTGATGGGACACAAAAGAAACCATTCAAGACTGTGCTGAAGGTGAGTGTGGAATGTGTCTGGGGCAAGTGATGGCCCCTGTATTTTTACATGTGAGTTTTGAACCTGTTTTTGCAACCTGAGTGCCTGCTCAGGCTCTGTAAGGATGATTTTGGTTATTTTCCCCTCTTTTCAGGCATTGATGACAGCAGGAAAAGAGCCATTTCCTACAATTTATGTGGATTCCCAAAAAGAAAACGAGGTGCTGTGGCATTGAAGGGTTTCCTAGTGGGAATTATTTTACTGCTTCTTGGTGTGAAGGGACACAATATAATCTGCTGTATTTTGCTCTCTCCTTGAATTCTTTAGAGATGGGCCATCATTTCCAAATCACAGATGAAGAATGTCAAAAAGCTGTGGCACAGGGAGCAGATGAAAAATGAAGCTAAGGAGAAGAAGGAGGTAGGCTGCAGAAGGAGCAGAGCACCTTTGTTTTCCAAAAACATTACAGTGTCATCATCATTCCTGCTCCTGCAAAAAAGCTGTGGGTTGCTCCTCCCATGTGTTATTTACAGCTGGCCTGGTTACAGCTATTTAATAAGTTATTTCTTTCAAACCAGGCAGAAGATCTCCTGAGAAGGGAGAAGAACCTGGAGGAAGCCAAGAAGGTTGTTATCAAGAATGATCCCAGTCTTCCAGAGCCCAAGTGTGTGAGTATGATCCCGTGCCTTGGCACACGGTCCGTGCTAGGGCATCCGGCCAGCACAGAGATTGTGCTGCTCTGGGATGGGGTCTGGATGAACTCTAAGAGGTGCTGAACCATTCCCCTATTTAATGGCTTTCATTCCCTGCCTCACAGGTGAAGATCGATGCTCTGGAGGCTTACAGAGGGCAGAGAGTGAAGATTTTTGGCTGGATCCACAGGTTACGGAGGCAAGGTAAAGCATGAGCAGTGCTGAGCCCGTGCAGGGAGATAGGACAAGTACAGTGGCTTTCAAAATTGGGACACAGAATGAGTCTGGCAGCACCTGGCCTCAGATTTTCAAACCGGTTAAGTGCCCTCTTCGTTTGATCTCAATGATCACTGTGACACTAACAATTCCCCCTGATGTGTGGGCATACAGACATTTCCTAGTTCAGATCCTGTTGGAGGCTAATCCTACAGGATTTCCTCAACTTGTTCTGTGTTTTAAGGTAGTCCTGCCAAATGAGGAGCTAACCAGTACCTGCTCATATTGAAACCAAATCCCTTCTCTTTTTAACTAGGGAAAAATCTGATGTTTATTGTCTTGAGAGATGGCACAGGGTTCCTTCAGTGTGTCCTTTCTGATGAGCTGGTAAGTTGTGTTGATTCTGTTCTGTCACTAATTGATACACCTCATGTGTCAGTGTGGTTATGTTCTCCTCAGCCTACTGACTCAGTTGTGTTCCTGTTAAATTGTGTCCTCTCACTGCAGTTTGTCAGTGTGAGAGCTCTTTAGAAGTGACTGTGAGCTACTCTGTGACTCCAGTAGGAAAGTTAGGAATGAAAACGTGCTCACCTGTGCCTTTGTGTGTCTCGCTGCAGTGCCAGTGCTACAACGGGCTGGTGCTGTCCACGGAGAGCAGCGTGGTGGTGTACGGCACGCTGAACCTCCTGCCCCAGGGCAAGCAGGTACGGGAGCTCCTCCGGCTTCTCCTCCTCCCTCTCGGGTCACTGGTGTCCTGAGGGAGGCACAAGCAGGGGTGGAAGGAGTCACTGCATTATTTCAGAGGGAATTAGGGCTGGAGAAAGAACAAAGCTCCCAAAGCTGTGCTGTCACCCACTCTTCAGTGTGAGACAGGTGAACTGTGTGACTGTTCTGCTTCTGCCTGAAACGATTTTGCACTGATAGACAATTCCTAGAGTATAACGTGGAGAACTGTCATGACTGTAAATAAATGTCATGGCTTCATTTTCCTTAACAGGTTTATTCAGTTATTAACAGTTCTTATTTTGTGAGGCTAAGAATTTTTCCACATCTCTTTTACTGAGATGTGTTTGTAGGATAGATCCAAGGTGAGGTAATGCGAGCCCCCACTATTACATTTCGATAAAAATCTCTGGGTTAACCTTTGAAAATCTGCGTTTCTACCCTAAAAATGCTGTGATTGAAGTGAAAATGCCATTTGTCAGAAGGCCACTGAGATCCACACGGGGGAGCTGGTGAGAGCAGAACTCAGTGACAGACTGGGCTGGAAGGACCTTACAGCTCATGCAGTGCCACCCCTGCACCGGCAGGGACACCTCCCACTGTCCCAGGTTGCTCCAAGGCCCGTCCATCCTGGCCTTGGGCACTGCCAGGCAGCTACAGCTTCTCTGGACACCCTGTGCCAGGGCCTCACCACCCTCACAGGGAGGAATTTCTTCCTAATATCCCATCTGCCCTGCCCTCTGTCCACGGGAAGCCGTTCCCCCTTGTCCCATCACTCCAAGCCCTTGTTTAAAGACACCCAAGGGGCAAGCAGTGGATTTTCCCCCAGTGTTCGCTTCTCTCCCGCTGCAGGCTCCGGGAGGCCACGAGCTGAGCTGTGATTACTGGGAGCTCATCGGCCTGGCCCCGGCAGGAGGGGCTGACAATCTGCTCAACGAGGACTCGGAGGTGGACGTGCAGCTCAACAACAGGCACATGATGATTCGAGGTGAGAACATGTCCAAAATCTTCAAGGTGCGCTCCATGGTGGTGCAGGCCTTCAGGGATCACTTCTTTGCCAACGGATACTATGAAGTAAGTGTGTGTTCCCGGGCAGCAAGCGGCTGCTCTGGTGGCCTGGCTCACACACGTCCTGAGCTCTTCACCAAGCAGTGACAGTCCTGTTCCCCACCAGGTCACACCACCAACCTTAGTGCAGACGCAGGTGGAGGGAGGCTCCACCCTGTTCAAGCTGGATTACTTTGGTGAAGAGGCATACCTGACCCAGTCATCCCAGCTCTACCTGGAGACCTGCCTGCCAGCTCTGGGAGATGTCTTCTGTATTGCTCAGTCCTACAGAGCTGAGCAGTCCAGGACCCGCAGGCACTTGGCAGAGTATGCACAGCTGTCCTTGTTTCTTTTTAAACAGCTTGATTTCCTTTCCAGTGTGGGAGTAAAAGGGGGTGAGAAGTGTGTGTTGGGGTTGTGGGTTTTGTTAAGAGTTTGTTTCATGGCGAAAGGTGTGGTGCTTGTATGTGACTTTGCAATGCTGTGGCTCTGTTTCAGGTACACTCACATTGAAGCTGAATGTCCTTTCATAAGTTTTGAGGATTTGTTGGACCGTCTGGAGAACTTGGTGTGTGATGTCGTAGACAGAGTCTTGAAATCACCTGCAGCGAGCTTACTGTATGACCTCAACCCGGTAGGCAGCCATGGGAACACCCAGGAAATTAGGATTCTAACTCTTTCCTACTACTTTGGGAGATGCAGGGCACGGCAGAGAGCTTACTTAGTATTAGTAATGATAAGGAGAATATTAAACATAATAAGAATGAAAAATCTGCAGGGCTGGTAATGACCAAAGCAGGGAGCTCTGGGGGAAGATGTCCCCTGCTGGCACGGTCCAGAAGCCAGCAGTGTGCTGGGATTTAGGGAAGTGTGGGCTGTGCCAGTGGAATAAAAACCTCCATCCCCGAGAGCAGATACTGACCTGCTGCTTGCTGATGGAGCATGAAGGAGTGATGAAACAAGCGGTGTTCCAGTTCCTCCCCTGCAACATGGAGCCCTAAAGCTCTGGAAATACTTCCTTATCTTTCCTGCCAGGTGATCTGTGAGGTTTTCTGGGCTTGAGATGGTTGTGTTTGGTTCTGGCTTTGTAGTACTGAGTTTGATTTGTTCATTTAAGCGATAATTTGATGATGTGTGAGCTGGGAGGGATTGTGGACGTGCTGATTAAAAGAGTATCCCTTTTGAAATAGTGCTCCTCCACCCCCTGCAGGGTTTCCAGCCCCCCAAACGTCCCTTCCGACGCATGAACTACGCTGAAGCCATCGAGTGGCTGAAGGAACATGATGTGAAGAAGGAAGATGGCACATACTATGAGTTTGGGGAGGTAATGCAGCTGTGGCTTGGGGTTTGACTGATGTCCTTCAAACATTGGGATAAAAACTTGTGTTGTCACCTGTCATCAGTTCCCTGGCCACACTTCTCCAGCATGTGAGACAGTTGTTTTAAGGAGCTCAGGACAATTTGACAGCATAGCCAGGATGGTTTTTTCCCCTTGCTTTTCTGTCTCATATATTGAGGAGACTTGGATTTTAACTGAACAGGTTGTTTTTTTTTTCCCAGACATGTGGGTTTTTATGTCTTCTGAAATAAGTCTGTTTGAAGAGTTTAGGTGCATTAGGATGAAAGCGTGGACATGAGCGGTCTGAAACGGTTTCTGTTTCATGCTCTCTTCATGTGGGACTTGTGTATGGGAGTAGTTTTGGTGCTGAGTATTAGTAAAGCCTTCTCTGACCACAGGATATTCCTGAAGCTCCTGAGAGACTGATGACAGACACCATCAACGAGCCCATCCTGCTGTGCCGCTTTCCTGCGGAGATCAAGTCTTTCTACATGCAGCGCTGCAGCGACGACTCGCGCCTCACCGAGTCTGTGAGTTGTTTTACCTGGCACCCTGGAGCAGCGGGGACGCTGGAGCGCTCCAGGAGGCTGTCGGAGAATCCGTGCTGGGTTGTGTCAGGGTGCCTTGGCGCGGGGCCCGGCTGCTCCCCGGCGGTGTCGCTGTAAGCGCGCCGTGCTGCGCTGTGTTGCAGGTGGATGTGCTGATGCCCAACGTGGGCGAGATCGTGGGGGGTTCCATGCGCATCTGGGACAGCGAGGAGCTGCTCCAGGGCTACAAGAGAGAGGGCATCGATCCCACGCCCTACTACTGGTACACGGACCAGGTCAGTACAGCACGCTGCTGCGTGCCTGGGGCTGGAGCTCTCTCCTGGAGGGCTCGGTTGGTTCGTTTTGGTGGTATTACTGCAATTGTTAATTACAAGGAAATGTGTAATATCCCCTCCCTGAACAGAGAAAATACGGTACGTGCCCTCACGGAGGATACGGTTTGGGATTGGAGCGGTTCCTGACCTGGATTCTGAACAGACACCATAT